GACAACGTCAAGATGTTGAATATACACTCACGGTTCTTTACAGGCCCTTATATTCAAAGAAGTGGCTGACTTCATCAAGTCCAAGGTGTGTTGCTTTAGAGTCTTGTGTTTTGCTGGACACCTCTAGCTACAAGAATCAGCATAAGCAATGACGAGAACTTCAATCGCTTATTGAACGAACAGCTTGACTGCTCCTCCGAAGTCATTACCTATGGATATGGAACCGCTGGTGGAAAACGGCTGCCCAGAGCCTTAGCAGACCATCTGAACGAGTTCTTCAATCCGAATACGCCTCTTGTGGGCGATGATATTGTTTTTACTGCCGGCGCAACCTTTCTACACAGCGCTTTGGCTTTTAGCGTGGGCGATCCAGGTGATGGCATTCTGCTCAGCCGCCCTTGCTATGGCCGATTTGAGATCGACTTTGGATTTGAGTCAGGACTGCGCGCTGTCTGGGCTGATACCCAAGTCGAGACACGCTTTGATCCAGATGCTGTCGAGACATTTGAGAAAACCCTCGCAAAGGCAAATGCAGCAGGTGTAACAATCAAAGCATTGCTCATTGTAAACCCCCATAATCCCCTGGTAAGAATCGGCCATTGAGTAGCCATAAGCCTTGTTGACTGAGAGTAGGTAAATGCTATCCGAAAGAAACATTGTTGGCTTTGATGAAGTTCTGTCAAAAGCATAGGATTCACCTAATCAGTGACGAGATTTATGGCCTGTCAGTCTTTGAGTCTAATGAACCAGGCACTGTTCCGTTTACGTCCATCCTTTCAATCAATCCCGAGGGCTTGATTGACCCAGATCTTCTCCATGTAATTTACGGAATGGCAAAGGCTTACGGCTGTCCAGGCCTAAGACTTGGTGCGCTAATTACCCACAGCAGACCGATGCTCAAAGCGGTTCGCAGCGTGGCTCGCTTTCATAACACCTCTGGACTCTCTGTCGCCGCGGCAATTACCATGCTTGAGGACCATGACTGGTGTCGAACATTCATAGCACAGATGCGCCAAAGCCTCGGCGCAGCACACAAGTTCGTCACGAGCGGTCTGCGAGAGATTGGTGTGGATTACCTCTTAGGAAGCAACGCTGGTCGCTACGTCTGGATTGATCTATCAGCGTATCTTCCGCCTGGGTATTCCGGCCTTAGCGATCACGAGAGAGAAATGAAGCTGGGCGACAGATTACTGAAGGGAGACACCCTTTTGCAGCCGCTTGAGGAGCATGCCTGGAGACCTGGATGGTTTCGTTTGGTCTACACCGACCAGCCTGAAGTTATACGCGAAGGTCTGAGAAGGTGAGCTGTCCAGGAAAAGGGGTGTGCCCGTCTGGGTCCTAGAATTTGTTGCGGCTAATGATCTCAGACTAGGGAACATCCTAAGAGACATCAACTGGTAAGTGAACTGCGGAACATTAGCTTCAGAGAGGGTTACTGGCCTTTAAAAGACGGATTAGTATATCATGAGCATGCCATAGCTCTCAAATATCATAGCCAGTTATCAAATTGCACCAGGTGGCTTGGAGGACTGAGAAAATAAGTAGTAGGTCTTTCCGACGGATGGAACCTGGAGTGTAGCTCTCTGATCAGGAATTTGCATCAGGTAGTACACAATCCAACTGAAGCTGCACGAGCTCATGCTTTTATTAGAAGTGAAGGAAGAATTACATCACTAGGGTTGCACTACAGGATATGGCTGATTCATCGGGATTGTTGCTATATTCATCGAATCTTCAGCCTGAATACCGAGGACCTGGTAAATTCCGAACTAGATAAAGTCGCAGTCTCATAAATTTCAGTATAAGATTGCAACATGTTCTTTGTGAAATACACTCTTGACGCTGGACGTTCTCGAAAAAATGAAATTGGTCGTGGTATCAGCCTGTGTTTTCGCAATGGTTTCAAGCGGGTTGAGTCAATATGACCCAAGGTCCCCTGACTTCAACCTCACAAGCATTTATTTGACTGTTGATACCAAAGGAGTAGCTCGGTAGGAGCATAGCATCGTCAGCTTTATAAAATTTTACACTGACAATTGAATAGTATGAGGGCAAATATTCAGTTCACAACTGATCACTATGCTCCTAACTGTACCGGTGGTGCTTTCGGCATGCCTGGGATATTATCAAGAGTTGGAGGTGCATGCAGCGGCGCTTGGTCCGATCCCGCTTCGACTGTCACATGGGCGGTTTGTGGCCGAGACGATGACGGCGTGGACATCAGTGTTGATACACGTTATTTAGCATGTAAGCGACCCTTGGCATCCGACATCCCAAGTACTTGGCGCTGTTCGGTGGTTTTACTTTTCTTACACCGAGTACGAAGCCTCTATGTCTACATACGCTGATTCTCAATCTTCAAGGGTCGGGCCGATGTGAAGAGAGCTGTCACCAGAATGGCACTTATCACGGACCGCCACAGACAATAGAGCGCGTCCCAACAGCTCAAGGAGAGATATTGGTATATAGAGGGCCTCGAGATATAAGCATTACACCGAACTTATACCATGAGTGGCCGGACAGTCCCTCATAGCCGACTGTCCGAAAAGGACGTGTCCGACAAATGTAAACATATCTTAGCGAATAGAAACCAATCACGAACTGCGAAGTGAATTTGCCCATGACGGAGATATTTGATTGACGCATAAAGATGACCAATCACTGGTACTGGGTTATGACGAGCAAGGACAGTCTTTCAAAGAACGAACATGGTGAAGAAGCTTTCCGACCGTGAAGCTTGCGTGGTCGACAGTAGGCGGTAGGTCTGATGCACCCGAACACTCCGACCCCACTCGGCAGTCCAGGGGACCATTAGCGCTCCCGATCAGTGGAGGAGTGTCCTGGCATGCATAACCAAGGCCAATGAGACGCTACGTTTTAATCAGCCGGGCTGTTTCCACCACTGAAGCTCTGGCATGACGAGCTCGCAAGATTCAAGCTTCTGGACGAATCGTACCACCTCAGCCGATCTGCTCTGTGAGCGGGAGTCTGGCAACTTACCCGGGTACTTCTTCATATATCTATCTGGTTCCTATTAAACCCTCTCCACTCTTTCTTTTTTCCTCTCCGAAATGGCTGGCCTTCGGTTGTCTTTCCTTCTCGCTATACCGACGATTCTCGTTGCTCTCTTCTTGACTAAATCGCCATTCATGATGACTACCACGGCGCCCTCCGAAACGAAGCCCTGGGCAGATGGCCCAATGAAGCTGGTCACGACTCCGCAGTATGCAACCAAGAAGGTAAGCATAACAACTCGGTGCTTCTATACTCAACGCGTTAATATAGGGTGTGATCCAGACCGACCTCTTCACGACCGGCGCAACACACATGGCTTTGCTACACAACTCCATTCTCCGAGGCTACAATTCGATCTACCTTCAAGCTCCCCACGTCCAAGAAGCCGACAAAGCCGCCTTTATTGGCTACAGCCTGACTTGGTTCAAGTTCGTCAAGTCACATCATGATGACGAGGAGGAGACGCTCTTCACGAAAGTCGAGGAGCTGCTGAATGACAAGGAAGTCTTTGCAGACACACATAAAGAGCATGGTATGTTGAACTGGCCACGGCATGCTGAATCAACACATGTTTCGTGTTTATTAACGCATCATCTTGGGTTACAGAGGCGTTTTTGGCTGGCCTCGGCGAGTTCAATACCTACCTGACCTCCCTCGCTTCGCCATCCGACTTCTCAGCTACGGAGCTCCGCCGCATAATGGATGGCTTCCACGCCGCTTTCGAAAGCCACTTCCACAGCGAGATCAGCACGATCTCGAAGCTTGCGGAGCACCCGAACGCGCCCAAGCCCGACACACCCGAGGCAGCGGCGGCGAGCAACACGTTCAAGGCGTGGGGCAAGAGCACCGTCACCAAAGCCGGAACGGCGGACGTCGTGCCGTTCTTCCTGTTGAACCTCGACGGGACGACAGAGGAGGGCACTTGGGCCAATTGGCCTCCAATGCCCGGCCCGATTCGCTGGGGCCTGGTGAACATAGCTGGTCTCTTCCACTCGTCCTGGTGGAAGTTTGCGAGCTGCGATGGGGCTGGTCAGCCTAAGGAGCTCTACGCTCTTCAATTTCCTCAGGTGAAGGCCTGAGATGTATCACGAGAATATGGTTAATGGCAGAGTGACCCGCCCTTATCCACTGGGCTTTTCTTGTATTTGGTGGAATTTTGGAGTCTTGGATGTAATGAACGAGATACCAATATGACTTGATATGACTGCCAAAAGGTCCAGATCTCCCACTTGTTCTCTTTTAGTCAGAACCAGGAGTGTTCTGCTCACGCCGGTTCTGAGAATCTCCGGACTTGTTGACTACGGCCAGTGGTCTTTGGGCATTGATGTGAACAAAGCAAGGACTGTTATTAATAGCATATTCCCGTCTCAATAAATCCCTAGCTGGATTTAGCTGACGGATTGTTCCTCAAAGGAGAGCTCCTAATGTCCAGCACACCCACCGCGCAGGTAGCCACAGCACAAACTGCCTCTACCATGACGCCGACAGCAACCGTGGCCGACATGGATTGAATGAAAGGAGGGCAAATGGAGTGCAAGATCTCGGTAGGCAGCTCTGACTGGTTATAATGCGCGACTCACATATTTACTCTAACAACCGCAGATGCTGGGGAACTGGTCATCTGTCGGCGTCTGCTTCATCTCGCCGAACTGGCAGATCACATCGGCGGGCATGATGGCAGCTTCCTGCATTGGCGTTGTGTTTCTTGTCGTCGTCCCTGAAATTTTCCGGCGCACAAGCAAAGAGTTCGATCGATGGATCATCTTGCAGCATCAAGCACGCGTCAAAGTGGAGGGTGGTTATCTAGTATGCCGAGACGCTCCCGGGTCGGAGCAAAGCGACAAGGCAAGCCGACTTTGGTAGCGGCCCCGCAGCGGCCGCCGACGCCGTCGTCGCGAGTCCGACTCCTCCGTGCCGGCCGAATCTTTGGCAGCAAGCTGTGAGGGCAGCGCTACATACAGTGCAGTTCACGCTGGCGTATTTCATTATGCTGTGAGCGGCTTCTCATCTATTCCAAACCATCACGAGCATATGCTGACTATGCGCTGTTCCGACCAGCAATGTATTACAATGGGTACATAATCATCTCGATTGTCGTCGGCGCATACATCGCGGCATTTGTCTTTCAGTGGGAAACTCTTGCTAGCGGGCGGCAGAGTACAAAGACGGGTGTCGTCTCTGAGCCTACTGTGTTTTGAGGTTGGGCATACTCGTCGACATCTCACCTAGGACGCACTTGTTGTTGTGCATCGAGTAATAGATGTCAGGAATATCGAAGCGCATGCCGAGGTCTGCTCTCAATTGATCCATTGATTACTATCCATCAGATATGACAGGTTCATCGCTTCCGAAGCATCCACGGATATGACAGCGGAACTCATTGGCCGATGGTGCATGTTAAAGACGATGAGGATGCGATGTAATGCGATGCTCACGTAAACCACAGCAGCCTGAGATCTACCTCAGGCTTCACCAATTGCCCTGTCATGAATTCTACTGTAACTGGGCGTATGCCACGCGCGCTGTGTACTTTGGCGGAGCCTCTGAATCAGGTTTAGCGGTAGTGCCTCGCCACCAACTGCATCCAGTACTGAATCCCATTTGGGGCTGCACATCTTCATTGAATCGCATTTTCCACACTGTTGTATCACATCATTTCTCTTGACTTTAACACCGTCCCAAATCTCAACACATGATTTCTTCCAAATGAGAACATGATACAGACTTTATGTAGTATTTGAATATTGTTGTATAAATTTTCTAGACCATCTGGTGTCCGGTGCAGAACTAGAACACGATCTCACGTTGCAGGCAAATCGCAGGTACGACGGCCATCATTCTGGATTTCTAAGCACACAGGGAGACTGCACAATCCAGTCAGGCGCGATGGCGAGCAAGCCTCGAAGCTCTGAGGGCTGTTGGACATGCCGCCTGCGTCGCAAGAAGTGCGACGAGGTCCGCCCGGTGTGCATGGCATGCGACGCTCTCGAGATATCATGTCTCTACAGCGAGATCAAACCAGAATGGATGGACGGCGCCGAGGGCCAGAAGGTCAAGGCCGATGAATTGAAAGCCGAGGTGAAGCGCAAGGCCGCATTCCGCCGTGAGAGGAAATATCTCCAATCGATCGAGAACGGCATCGAGGACCTGAGCATGACCAACGGCTCCGAGTTCGATATGAGCTCTAGCATAAACGTCAGCGACGAGGCTCATGGCCGGCGCTTCTCTTCTCAGACTGCCACCATCAATAGCACGTCCCCAGCATCAAGTAACGAGTCGGCCAATACATCTCAGCCGTCGAGTATTAGCATGCAACCTGCGTCAGCATTGAGCGATTTCACTTTTCCATTTGTCAACGGCACAATCGCGTCCGCTATGACCGCTGGATTGCCCTACCAGTCATCCAGTTGTCTGTCTCTCAACTTCGAAAGGGAGCTTAACTCTGTCATGATGTATCTTGACTATGTATTTCCTTTTCAATTTCCATTTTACCGACCTCCTCTCCTCCAGAGCGGACGAGGTTGGCTACTTGTGCTGCTACTCAGAGACAGGACGTTGTTCCACATAAGTCTCAGCTTGGCAAGCTACTACTTCAGCGTTGTCCTATCCAACACGACAACGGAGCATGACTCTTGCAAGGTCTCAAACCTTCAGGAGCTGGTTAAACAGCAAGACCTTGCGCTCAAGGAGATGCAGAAGGACATGGATGAGATCAACCGGCGAGGCATCAGGGGCTATTTACAGGAAAGTGCTCGCGTCATGGAGAGCATGATCCAGCTGCTCTGTTTCGAAGTTGCCATTGGCCAAACCGGAAACTGGCAGATGCACCTTGAGGCTGCCATGATCTTGTTTGAGCAGATCAACGAATCACACGCTGCACCTGGCTCTGATGGGACCTTTTGCTGGTCCTCGATCCTAGAACAGCTGGCTTCTGACGCGATGCGCCCCACGCCCGAGTTCAATGGAAATCATCCTTGGAACTCGGACCAGGCTGCTATCCGATTCTTCACGTCGTACATGCTGTATGCAGATATCATCGCTAGCACCGCGCTCGAAGAGGCGCCTCGCTTGCAGAAATGGCATCCTCTTCTGTTACAGCCCCAGTCTCCGGAAATCAGTGCCCTCCATGGAGAAAATCACGATCGAGTCATCCCGGCTCTCAATCTCGAGGAGTTCATCGGCGTACAGAACCCCACGCTGATACTTATCGGCCGGATATCGGAGCTTGCCGCCTGGAAGAAGGAAATGAAGCAAGCGGGCCAGTTGTCAGTCGTCGAGCTTGTCAGCCGAGCAACACAGATTGAGACAGATCTGCGGAGGTATGTCACATGCATCGACGCAGGTGCCGGCTTCCTGGACATAAATACAATCAATCTCTGCGCCTCCTCAGGCACTCCTGAAACTATGACTGTCGCCCCCAATCCACTTGATGTCCTCGGGCAGTACCAGCACGGACAGATGAATAATTTCACCACACTATGGGTCACGCGTATCTGGGCACAAGCGGCGTTGACATATTTGTCGGTGGTGGTCTCAGGCTGGCAACCTGGTAGTCCGGAGATTCGTGAGAGTGTGGGAAACACGATCAGTCTCCTATCACACCTCCCGACTACGGCGTGCCTACGCACTGCAGTGTGGCCTTTCTGCATTGCTGGCTGTTTGGCGATGCCTGAGCAAGAGCACGTGTTCCGCGATATGGTTGGCGGTATGGGCTCACTAGAGATCTTTGGGACTATCAAGGAAGCACTGGCGATCATGGAGAATGTCTGGGCGAACAGAGTACACATCGAAAAGGCTGCCGACAGCTGGGACTTTGCGGCCAGCTTGAGGAGTCTCGGCCGGAGTGCATTGTTGGTCTAAACAGACTTGACATGCTTGGCTGCCGTGCAAAGTACTTAGTTGCCGGCTTTGACTGCCCGAAGATCTCTGCGACAGGACAGGTTCGCCTGTGAGGCTTAGAGGGAAACCCGTGTATCTCCTCAGCAGATGTCACTATCAAGCAATAAAGTAGGTTGAGGACGTGGAAATCCTGTGTACACTTTTTTTTGTATTGTGTGTGGTCCAATCTAATTTTTAATAGTTCCGTCCCAAACCCAACCAAGACCAAAGAGATTCGTCCATTTTTTGAGATATTTGATCATTATGCCTGCGAATGAGGCCAGTCTATTAGATTACTCTTCCAGTCAATGTACTTCACCAATCAAGCTTAGCGGAACTGCAAACGTTTCCATATCAAACGAGGGTGGCTGCATCATCGTCACTCTGTTTCTCTCGTCGGCTGCTCGGGAACGGCTGTTTGCGTCCCCTAACAGTGTCCATGCGCACGAGACCAAGGTCCCACCAGCCTTCGATGCGCTCAAGAATGGTCTTACGCTTCGTTTTCGACCGTGCCAAAGTTCTCTCTTCCGGCAGGCCTGGAGTCGGCGGGAGGACCTCAATGGTCGGGTTCTCCGGCGGCAGGGGCGACCCAGCTGGGATCGGCCACAGGCTGCGCCGTACTTCTTGGAATCGCGATCGCTTCGTTACAGCCGCGGTCAACGGCTGAGGATTGGGCGCTGCGACGGGAGGAGGGGGAGATAGCGGAGTTGTCGAGAGGGCGATGGGAATCGTGCCACGGTTGTCATCGATACCAACTCCATTACCACTAACCAGGGTGTTGTTTACGTGCACCATGGTCCGGGTGCCGAGTGAGGTCTGCGAGGTCCTCTTCGCCAGCCGGGCCGCCGGTGGTGCACGTAACGATCTGTCAGTGTCGGGCAATGATGGTGGATAAGGTAGTGATGATGTAGTGGCCGGCCCCGTCCCTTCGAAGTTGCTACTGCTATCTAGACCTCCTCCTCGTCGCGGCGCCCCGAATCCCTATGCGTCGTAGCGCGGTCCACCTGCCGGAGTAGCAGGACGGCTGTACAGCGGAGGCACATAGCTGCCGGACTCGCTGGGTGGCGGTGGAAAGCTGGCGGAATCAGACCACGCCTTAGGCGCCATCTCGAAGTCAGCCTCTGCTGCTGCTGCCGCCGTGGCACGCCTCTTGCCGAGGAACAGGAAGCCGGCCGCGATGGCACTGATAGCGAACAGTACGCAGAGGGCAATCATGAGACCCCAGACAGCCATGATCTCGTAACAGGTGGTCTGCTCGCCGCCAACGAAGAAGACATAGCTGACGGCACCATTGTTCTTGGTAGTCAGCGGCACTGCTAGGTAGCTGTTCTGCTTGGCGTGCTTGGGAAGCTCCGAGCATGTTGTGTAGGAGAGTGGCTGGCCTAGCACGACTGCGATGACAATGAAGGGAATGAGGAAGAGAAGGTCTACCACGGCCGTCACGATATATGGGATATGGGTGTCATGATAGGCCGTGAACGAGAGAAGTGTCCATAGGACGGAAATGCATGTCTGAAATCATGTTAGCAAGATGAGGAGAGACTCGTCGCAAATAAATGAACCATACAATAACGAGCGTTGCGACCAGCTCTTGGGGGGCCTTTTGCTTGACTCGAGCAATGAGGGAGATGAAGTTGGCTACCAGGCCGAGTACAGCAACAAGAGAAACGAATTGAAGTGGCCGAGCGCCGACAAAGGCGTAGCCATAGTATCCATGGTCCTTAATTCCCATGTTTACTGCAGGTGGTCTGTTATAGTCGTAAAATGATTGAAATGATCAAAGTACAGATCAACTGGTTGTTCTTCGAAAGATACGGTCGTGAGGTGACAAAAGTCGTCTTGGTCGTTACGTAGATTGGCAGGAATAGAATTACCCTTACTGCTTGAAGTGAAGGAAAGCAGAAAGAAAAGGAAATCGCCGATAACCCAAGAAAAGAGAGAGATATAGGAAATAAAAAACCCCAAGGAAAAGGACTGTAGTTTTCGTTGAATGAATGAGAGTCTTGCTGAAAACCCAACTTTCTGTAGGGCGAAGATCTTTGGCCTTATATGTCTTATTCACACCAACCTATTCATAGCAGTCCTTGCTTTCCATTGTCACACAGCGACCAACTATATCTGATACTCACAATGACGGCTTCTTTGTTGGCCTACCGGGCGCCTGCTGGAGAATGAGACAGAGCCAGTCGGTCTAGGGTGTTACCTTGTACTAGTAGCCTGAGAAAAGAATAGGCCACGGTGAGGCACCCAATCAACACTCGAACCAAGCCGTCGTACCTGGCATACGCCGGCTTGATACATGGCGGTTAAACAAGCGAGCAGCCGCGATGTTCCAGGCAAAGTATTTTGGTATCCTCGTCTGTTTAGCTTGAGCGATGGGGTGCTTCTCATATCGTAGGGCTGGGCTGTGGTTCTCGCCATGCGAGGCGTGCAGCCAACCAGCTTACAGCGCTGGCTCCAGCGCCGCGGCAGCAGAAACGACGCTAAAGACCTCGGCCACCCAAGACGGCCATGATTGGATCAGCGCTCATCTCGAGATTCACACATGTCTTTCCACTCTGGGCCTGCTAAGCGCGGCCGTCCGCTGATTCATGCGGCTGGATGAGACGGCTGCCATCGAGATCGGAAGATTCTTGGTAGACGCGATGGTTTCTACTGTCGCGCAAACGGGGCTGGCGTCTTGCGTGAAACGTCCCAACCGCAACTGAGACCAGGTCGTTGGGATCTTGGCCGGCCAGAGTTGAGATGAGCAGGATAGCGCCGCGGCTGCTTGGATTGCTTCCGGACGAGTGATTGCTCTATTATCCCACAGTGCTATCCCAAATGATCCTGGCCTGGCTGGCCGTCCTTGTGGGTTGGAGCGTTTGACTCTGAGCTTTGACGCATGGCAGTGCTGCTGGGCGGTTGCATGGAAAACAAGTACGATGACATCTGTAGATGGAACCACTATACGTCATGATCAGTGTAGTTGGCAGTTTTCTTTGCTCATGTGAAGTTGAAGTCACATGTTTTCTCGTCTTCATGTGTCTGGGTCGAAATGTACGCTTATGATTTGCAATTTTGTATACGCCCCTACGCCTGCCTGCCTACCAACAGACATCTAGCCGTGAATGCCGTCACTTCAACTACGTAGCAATTTATACATTGTAGCGTCATTTTAGTTCAACCAAGAAGATCATCTAAGCCATTGCTGCCAGTCAAGCCTCCTTGTGCGTTTCCAGGCTTTGTGGCCGAGCCAGCGGCTGGTGCTCCCCAGATCCCGGCGCTGCTCTTTTCCTTGGCCAACTGGCCGAGGGCTGGTCCGGCAGTTGGTGTGCTGGTCTTCTTAATGCCGCCGCTTGCACTGGCCCACAGGGCTCCAAAAGCATCACCGCCGCTGGAAGCGGGCTTAACAGCGCCCCCGGCCGGGGCTGCTGGCTTGAGAGAGCCCATGCCTGACAATGAGGCAGATGATGACTGTGGTACTGGAACAGACTGGAAGTAGTTCGGAGCCGAAGTTTGAAAGCCAGCAGGCTTATGAGCTTGGGCTGCAGGAGATGATAGATTAGATGTGAGAGGCGTGCTGAAAGCGGAATAGTTGGCCGCTGGTGTAGCGTTGGAGCTTGCTGGAGGAGAAATAGATGACAGGCCGACCATGTCGCTCAAGTTCGCCTGCTTCGGTGCAGATACAGGTGCGGGGGCAGCAAACTGAGCACCCGATGCGTTTGATGTAATCATCGGCGCGATAGGGCTGGCAAATGATGCCTGCGGAGCAACCGGCTGTGCTGCAGGAGTTGCGGACTGGAAGTCATCGAACTCGTCATCGTCTGCGCTACTCGATAGAGCAGCCAAGCCTGAGCCGCTAGAAGGAGCCGCGGCAGGTGCGGCAGTTGAGGCAGATGGGACTGGATCGTCAAAAGAGAACAAATCAACCTCTGGCTCTTTCTTCTTTGATGGCTCGGCAGTAGTTCTCTTGACGCCCACTCTCTCCGTCCGCTCCGAGCGAGTGCTCTTAGGTGCTGGAGCCGGTTTCTCGCCCTCATCAAACTCGTCATATTCCTCGAATTTGTCCGCGCGGCTACTGGTATCCCGGAAGTCGCTTGTCTGGCCCCCAAAGCCGCCACCATCGCCGTAAACACCACCGGAGTATCCGCCGTAGTTTGCGCTGCTTCCACCGGCACCAGCAGACTCGCTGCCAAAACCACCGTAACGGCCGCCACTGCCACCCGAAAAGCCACCTCCAAGGCTTGCTCCGCCCTCGACACCCGTATATTTGGCCTTGTTGGCGCGGGCCTTCTTCCGTTCGGCGCGGATTCGCTCGACGTCGCTAAGCAGCTCGGTAAGCTCCTTGGCTCGGTTCCGGACGTTTACGCCCTGGTCTTTGCCATTCTGATCGATAAAATGGAATTGGCGGAGCATCTTTAGTAGTGTCAGGTGGGATCGTGCATCATCGATAACGCGCTCGGAACCGTGTTTGATGAGGAATTCGAGAAGCTGGAGGGCTTTGTAGATTTGCCGCCACTCTTCGGCAGCCTTTTCTGTGAACCGTCGATAGATCATGGGCATGATCTCATTGAGGGTTTGACTTTGGAGAGTTAGATTGGGCAATCGATAGGCCGAATGATGAGAACTTACTAGTTGAACGTGCCATTCGCGATCTCCTGCATCAGTGTTGACGACGCTCCCCAAGGCTCATTATTCGTCGCCTCTCGCACCTATAAATCACTGATTAACATTGTGGGCACATCGTGATCAGCAATGACTGAGCTTTACCTTCGCTTCCATCTCGGTATAGTTCATCACCGCTAAACAACATTCGTCAGCCCCCGACCGATTCGCCTTGCGCACCTTCGTCTTACGTACCATTTTGGACTTTCCGGACTCCCGCCTTGAGATCATACAAGGTCAGGTTGGAGACCTGTTCCTTTAGGTTGTCGAAATTCATCTTTTCGAATTGACGATGATAGTCGCCGAGAGACGGATAGACACGAAGCTCTTTTGAAGCTCCTGGGTTGTCAACCTGGGGCTTCTTGAACGGTTTCACGACCTATTTACTGAGGACACCAGAGCCCAAATGGCCTATGCGATCGGGCTAGCGATCTAACACCGCCAAGAGCTCCCCTTTCTAGCGAGGCCCACAAACAAAGTCCGTGACAAAGCACGTGATTTTGCTATCAGACAAGACAAAACCAAGGTTGATGCAGGAATGTTGAATATTTCCATTCCATGTAGCAATCAAATATAACGGCATATTACTCGTTAAGATAATGTAAACTCGACTTCACCTTAAAGCCTCGAGGTGTGGTGGTTGTTAAGATTATTCCTGCAGCAGAAGTGATAGGATCCAAGCGAGACAGCAGGTCCAGAGCCTGAGGCAGCAACGTCTGAGAGCTGGCCTCCTTAGAAAACTTTCCAGCTGTCATATCCCGACTCTCATCAAGAGCAGACTCCTCCCAAGCATCTCATCTCATCTTGTTCTTATAAGCTGTATTGTATCTTCTCTTTTTGTCTCTGTACTCTAGACTCTTTCCAAAGGATTTCTTTACTTCAAGGTACGTTCGTTCTTACTCTACAGTGTCATTTACCTATGCGACCCGGAGCTTCGGTGCCCCTGAGAAGTCAATTGCTCCTCTTACCGAAAGGCACCTTGGAAAACTTGGCCAGATATCTTCTTCATTATGAAGAGTACTTGCCAATCATCACTCTCCCGTTGCTGCTCTGGACGGTGTAGCTTCTAGGGGGCTGTGCCGAGACAACCCGCAGCACACCGTCATCGTCTGTCTCCGATCTCAAAACCGGCTTCGCTACTCACACCGGCCCATCAACAATCGTCGATCCCATGCTCACCCATCTCCCGTCCCAATGCCCTCAATTGGCAAGGAACGTGTTGAGCGGGGTTCGGATCAGTGGCTGAGCTGGAGTTGGGCGGGCTTTGGAGTCGGACAAGATGCATGCGTGAGCTTGGTGCGGGATTGTTCTCATTGGCAACCATCTGTTGTCTTTGCATGGATTCCATGGCCGTCAAGTACCTGTCACAGCTCCTCCCTGCGCAGTCCCCACGCAACGCGGCGGTACCATGCGGGAGGTTGGTGGTGGGTGTGTGCAAGGTGGCTGTCCAATTCATTTCAATTGATGCACTCCATCCATCTGGCTGCTTACGAAATCCAGTCAGTCACTACTGGCTATCGGGAATTGCCATGGTGGATGGTGCCTTTTGAGGTGAATGTGTGCAGCTTTCTTGGTGGCCACAAAGTACCTTCCATTCACTGAGCTCAGATCTCGGGACGGGAGCGGGCAGAAGGGGAAGGGAGCTTCCCTCGTTCCTGCCTTGCCTTAGGCACTTGCTACTGTAAGCTAAGGGAGCTCTCAGTGGAAACAAAGGCTGGAACAGTGGAGCTCTCAGCACGCTTTTGCGCTTCATCCGAAAGGGGAGACAGCGACCCAGCAACGGGTCCCGCCCAGCACGTGACTCCGGGTCTCCGCTCTTTGTCGTGTCGCAGGCTGTCATTGGGTAATTGAGCGCTAACATCATTGCCCCTCTCTTCCGCAGATGGCCACCTTCAGACCAAGCATCCTGCGACCCCTCCTACCCCGCCATAACTGCTTCGTTTCAGCAGCCCCTCGGTCTTCTTTCCTACATCTTCTCCCAACTCCCGCAAAGCCAGCTGCTGCTTCTCCTTTCCAATCATCCACGAACCGAATCTCATCCAGAGCATTCTCATCAACATCGCCCATCATGTCTAAAGTGTGAGTGCCATCTCCTCCTCTTCCTCATCATCTCCTCATCATCATGAGGTCATGGCTTCACGATAGCAGCTCTTGCTAACCTCCAACCACAGCTTCTTCGACCTGGAGTGGGAGGGTCCCGTCCTCGACGCTGGTGGCAGACCTACCCGCGAGGTCAAGGGTAAGCATCAATCCAATTCCATCACTCCGTAGCATCCCCCATCCCCTCCGCCATCAGCATTGCATCTCTCCCACCTTCCTCCTCAGTTGGGATTCCTTCGTCATCACCGTTTACGCTTTGCTTTTACCCCGCCCCGCACAAAAATTTTCATCATGGCATGACACTTCAGCCCCGCGTCTCTCCTGGATGAAGCTTTGTTCTAACACTCGATGTCTATAGTCCAGCAGGGCCGTGTCACTTTCGACCTCTACGACAGCATCGTCCCCAAGACCACCCGAAACTTCCGTGAGCTCTGCACTGGCAAGCCCGGCTTCGGCTACAAGGGCTCCTCCTTCCACCGCATCATCCCCGAGTTCATGCTCCAGGGTGGTGACTTCACCCGTGGCAACGTATGATATTCCCCAATTTCTGAAATGCATCAATTGCGCACCATGCTAATACGCGACATAGGGCACCGGTGGCAAGTCCATCTACGGCGAGAAGTTCGCTGATGAGAACTTCGAGAAGAAGCACACTAAGCCCGGTCTGTTGTCCATGGCCAACGCCGGCCCCAACACGTAAGTTCCCAGTTGCCATTCCTCTGAGAGCTATTATTTCCATATTTCGCCGATTACTTGCCTCCGCCATATCATCGACTTGATTGCTAACATTGTTCCTACAGCAACGGGTCCCAATTCTTCATCACCACCGTCCCCACTTCCTGGTTGGACGGCCGCCACGTCGTTTTCGGCGAGGTTTCCGATGATGAGGGTCTGAGAATTGTCAAGGCCATCGAGGCCACCGGCTCCGCCAGCGGTGCCGTCAAGTACAGCAAGAAGCCCACCATTGTCAACTCTGGTGAGCTGTAAATGCGGGGTCATCGATTGCTTGCCTTTCCTTGGTACACTTCTACCAATGCTGCGAACGAAAAATCTCGGAGGATTTACGGGCTCGTGTTGCGTGCGCTCTGATACTCTACCATAGCTAGATAGCAACCATGGTCAAAAAGGATCTCGTCTTTTACCATATGATCCTGTATATATGCTTGTGAATCATGAATACCTCCGCCCTAAAGTTTTTTGAACGCCTCAAGCTCAACCAAGCATTATCGATGTCCTTAACTCACAACCCGTTTTAGAGACGGCAGTAAAGAGCATGAAATCTACTAGTCAGCGTGGTCTTATTCATGTCATCTTACACTACAGACTACTACTTCAGCTCTCAACCATAGTTGTCTCTAGACCACTTTTTCGCTTTCTAAATTCAGGTTACGCCTTCCGGAACGCCTTTTCCAGGTATCAATACAAAGTAGGTATCAGCATGAGTTGCATGGCCTCCCGTCACAGCTCGGAGCAAATCTCCTGTTCGCAAAGGTTGCTGAGCAAGTCCGTCACGCGCAAATTCCGTATTTGCGCAATGCATCAGTCCAAGCCTAGCCAGCGCTCGAAATAGACGCAATTACTAGGGCTCACTGGCCCTCCCTCTTCACATAGATCGAAGACCGGACACCGTCCACAAGGTGCCTCGGTCAGGCCATTTTGGCTCGGTGCAGCGCCCATCTCTCTGGGTAGATCCAAGTCGTCCTCATCACCCTCATTTCGCATGAACTGGGTCAACGGTATCGGGTTGACCTTGGCTGCTTTGACTGTCCGATAGCCACGGCGTTTGCCGACCTGGATCGGCTCAACAAGGTTGTCCCATACCAGCACATCGACTAATTGCTGGACATCCCCCTCTGATAGTGTAGTATTGCTCGTGATGCCGTGGGATGATATCAGCTCGGCGATCTGGCGTACTGTGGGGTAATTGTTGAAACCCGCGGGCAGGGGCACCAATGTCTTCTTCTTGACATCTTTCTTCGACGCATGGGTCGGTCTAGCATCATCTGTGGAGATTTCCTCGGCGGCGCGCTTCTTCCCCTTTGCATCCGCTTTATCTCCCTTCAGCACGCCTTTCTTTGGCTGCTTCTCTTTGTGTTCCCGGTGCACACTCGTGTACGTGCTCCTCTGTGTAATGTAATCGAAAATGACCTTGGTCAGCTCCGAGATGAACGCCTCGTCCAGATCCGAGTCCGTGTACCACGGCCCGCCCGTTGCACGATCGCTTGGCCGCAGGCCCGCCTTGATGTACATCTTCTTGTTGGGGTGCTCCACGCTCTTCATATCCTTAATATAACCTTTAGACTCGAGGAACTTCAACGCTTGCTTGAGCACGCTGTCGTGCATGCCGAGGCGGGCCTTGACGGTGCGCGACCAAATGCCGTCGGCGCCGGCCTCGTCCACCATGGCGTACACCATCGACTGCTCCTGCGTCAGGTTGCGGTAGCGCCCGGCGTCCTCGGCAGAGCGCCACTTCCACGCCAGGTTGCCGCCGGGCAGGCTGACGACGATGAGCAGCCGCTCCGCCGTCAGTGCCTGGATCACCTTCATGAGCGTCTCGCCGCTGTTGTTGGGGATGATGCCGAAATCGAGGATGTCGCGCTGCGTGTACAGCTTTGTCTCGGGCCCGCCGGCCACGCACGAGTCGTAGATCGAGTCTTTGATCAGCTGGAACTTGGAGCGGTCCTCGCTCTCCAGCGACGGAGAGGAGTGTACCGTGGCCATAGTGGTTATCGTTGAGGTTTCGCGGCTAGAGGAAATTTATTGTCGAGAGGGAACCGTTTTGTCGCAATGAGTCAACCGTATATGCAGCAACAGATGCTACCCTCTCAGCGGCGTTCAACTGCGGGCAGGTGGGTGGTGAGGAAAGAGAGTGAATTGGAGATTCACATGAGTAAGATCAGTATTCGCTCTCGCATGTCCGCGGGCTGCTGAATGCAGGAGTTCGCAGGTGGGCGCTGATTGTCGTTGCAGATATCTTGAAGTTGAGAGTCGTAACCAACCAAGCGTCTAAACTTTTTTGCGGCTTTCGAAAAATGACTGTACCCCGCGAAATACTGCCGGTTGCTATGCCGCCATCTATAGTTTAGTGCACTCTCACCGCCTGATGCGGCCCGTTACCCCTGTTCAATTGCACTAATTTCCAGGGATCTGAACCCCTAGCGCAACCTGCTCAACAACACCCATCCGTTTAGTATTCGCCTGCTTATTTTACTGCGACAGCACACTGACAAGGTCGCCATTCACAACTCACCAGCTGTACCGCATGTCATTTCATCATGTTAATGTGATGTAATCAGGTATTGAATATCACTTAAATTATTGAGAGCGACGAAAATGCAACAATTTTGTAAGATCAGCGAGCGTTCTCCAATTTTCTCTATTTACCCTAAAGATGAAAGATTGAGGTAATATCTCGTCCAAAGGTCTAAAATGTTCCCCCAAACCCAAGGAAAATCTGAACAAAGTTTAGTGGTGGCTGTTTCTTAGTCTAGTAGACTGTTGCCGGACGTTGGTATCATTAGAGAAAAATGTTATCAGATGTGATTCGTCGCACATCCTCGACATAAAGTCCTTCCTTGTCATGACGTTCCTTTTAAAGCAAGTTCTTATTTTTTTCTCTTTTTTTTCCCTTGTAGAGAGTAGAACAAAGAGAGACTGCTCCTCCTGAAGACATCCAGCTATATATGTCTAGAAGAGTGACCTGGTGGTAAAACATGTCTAGGGGGTTAGTACTGGTTTATAAATCTTTCGTCCTTCTCAATACGTTCGCACAGCTTTATGTTTTCTTCAAAGTTCGAATTCATATCTTCACAGTTTTGAACGCTAGGATAGGCCACCACATAATCTTGGTCGGACTATGAGGGTTTTACAGTCGGTCAAAATAAATAAACGAAATTTTACTTCATTTTTAGATGACTGCAATATATATAAGGCACGGTCCAGATTTGTTTTCGTTTATCGTAATGTGAAAACCTCACAAACCATAAGGAGTCCGATCCCTTAGCTAAAGTTGAGTGGCATGGCACTATTACCCAAATAGTCTTTTCATTGGATCATTTGCCATGCCTAGATAGCTTCACCTAAACAGACATCATAATTGCTTCGTCCATCACAGCATCTCTCCCGCGAACTCTTTTTGGTAGATCAATCGTTCACATAACATTCCGAACGGCGAAACGGCGAAGACAGCAGTATGTTAGCTTTGTTGATTGGCCGCAAACATGACTGAATGTTTCACTGAAAGTCAAAGTTTGATCAAGTGGGGGACTCTGGAGATCGAAGTCTGAAACTGTAAGCGGCAGTCCTGTCCGAGAAGAAAATTGATATTGAGTGGCATCGCAAGAAATGGAGGTTTGGTCGCTGATTCAGGGACAAACACAAGAAAAACTGACAAGATAAGATGAGGAAAACGTTGCTCCAGGGAGTATTTGAGCTTGTTTTGTTCGGGGGCTAGGGTATCCACTGTCTGCACAGCCGACATCTCTTTCGCTAGGAATTGCAGACGACTGTTAAATCTAGCGGATTTATCTCTATTTTCGAATTCATTGTTTATTTATTGCCAACGAGTATCATATTGTCAGCTTATCGAAAAACAGAGCCGGGAGGACTTGTGAGCTTTGAACTTACGCTAACAACTAAAAGGACAAGAGCTTAGTAAATCGGAGTCTTTGTTTGACTGTCAATACCATCACAATACCAGCCTTTCTTCTGCTTCAATCTATGCCCGTCACAGCAACATGAGGGTGACGTATTCCTAGTGCCGCTGTGCCAGTCGGCAAATTCCATTGCTTGATGTTGGTAGAGTGGTTCTAGACCGACTTGGGTTCGCTTCGGTGGGCACTAGACAGGGGTGTCAGCACTTTGCATACGCTACATATAAGCTCCTCGATCCCCAATTTGACTACACTGAAGAAGCTCGCCTACAACCACATGTGCGTGGATCACTCCAACAACCGCTTTTTGCTTCAGATAGCCGAACATGGTGTCTCAGTTATCGGAATTATGGGATCCCACAGATGACTGGACTGGCATAGCTAGCGCAGCAGAGCGGAGAAAGCGACAGAATCGTCTGAGCCAGAGGTTAAAGCGTCGGTGCTGACACCCCCAGCCCTATCACCAGCTATCTAACACCTTTTTGTCGTAGGGAAAAAGAAGCACGCTCAACGCATGGCTACTCTCGAGAATCTAGACAAACCGCCAACAGGATTATTGGCGATAGCGACATCTAAGCGGGAAGAGCTTTCTCCATCGAGAGGTTCAAGGTGTGCTCGAGGCGCGCCCCTTATGAACAGTGACCCCAGCTTGCTAGGGGTTCATCTCATACGTTGCCACAAGACCCGCGAAAAAGCAATCGAGTTTGTTCAAAATGCACTTGTGCGTCACAGCCTTGATATTCGGCGACAAAATGACCTACCGACATTATCACGCCTAAATCTCCTGAATGCGCTTGCATACAACGCTACCCTCTTAGGTATCTGCTTTGAAGAGATGTATCTCGGCGACTGCATCTCTCCTTTCAATTTGATTGGCCCTGTCGCTCCGGTAGCGTTTGGTCATCCCAACACTGCGCCGGGGGCCCTTCGTCCCACGATCATGCAAAAGGCGGTCATTCATCATCCATGGATCGATCTTGTCCCAATCCCAGGTATTAGAGATAACATTCTTCTAGGCCTGCAGACAGAAATGATAGATGAAGAGGACTTGTGCCGCGATTTTAGTGAGCTTGCTCAGCCAGAAGACAGCGATGGCATATCAGCTCCCGCGTCCGTTTGGGGATCGTCCTGGGACCCCGCAAGCTGGGAGATGAGTCCTCGCTTCTTGAGAAAGTGGGGTTGGCTGATGAGAGGATGCCCTGAGGCTTTAGATGCTACAAATTTCTGGCGGGAGAAGAGAGGGGAGATGAGGATTGAGCTTGAGATTGGTTGATTAGGTCAGGTACCTCGATATAAATGTAATATGTATGACTTAGTCTATGCCCGTTTAGAAAATGTAGTTCGATTAGAAATGTAGTTTGATATTGATAGGCCATGACCAAGCGTATTATACTCTAGCTGGTTGATCCATATTTCGGGTTTTCGGGGAATTTAGTGCGGCTACTGTGGTCGTCTGACATCCCTGTCAGGCTTTGCTAGTGACTTGGAAGTTATACATACACTTAGGAGAGGTCTGCTTGAAATTGAATGAGTGGGATTACAGGAAATTTATGACTTCGTGTATAGCTCTCTGAGCCGGAGTTGGAGCTAAGGTATGGGCGGAAGCACTATAAAAGGACCCTATAGTAGCCCTCATCGGACAGCTGTCGTCCTTCATAAGCATCTAACTCCATCTAACAACAATCTCTGGGACTTTATATTGACTCATTTCGCCCTTGCCGTGTGCTGCATCATGTCTGCTCGCGATTTATTTAAACCATGTCCGCAGCCTAAGACGGAATTAGGCCGGTATCGCATCCTCTCTAGCACAGCCGGCGTTCTTGTTTCGCCGCTCGTATTGGGTGGCATGTCTTTTGGCACAGCCTGGGCAGAGGGTATGGGCTCTGTCGACGAGCAGCAAGCTTTTAAATTGCTCGACGCTTATAATGATGCCGGCGGAAATTTCATAGATACTTCGAATCACTTCCAGAGTGAGCAATCAGAACAATTCATTGGCAAGTGGATGTCTGCTCGCGGAAATCGCGATCTCATGTTTGTTGCGACAAAGTTCACCAGTAAGCATTTCTTGAAGTTCATTTGGTCCATGGAAACCTGCATATTTCTGCTATCTAGATCAAGTATTCCTTTCAATACTGTGGAAGATGCATTCAGGAATTCCTCTAGGCGGCTCTACTTACAGCAAAGTTGTCCCGCAATATGGCTACTAACTTCGAATGTTTTTAGTGAATTACCGGTCATGGGAGCTAGGACCAGGAAGGAGTGTTAATTATTCAGGCAATTCGAAGAAGTCACTGTGTATCTCTGTCAACGACTCTCTCAGGAAATTACAGAGTACTTATATCGATCTTCTTTATGTCCATTTGTGGGACTGGACTACCTCGATCGAGGAGATAATGGATGCGCTCCACATTCTTGTCGAACAAGGCAAAGTGCTCTACCTTGGAATCTCGAATACGCCTGCATGGGTAGTATCGGCTGCTAATACATATGCCCGAGCCCACGGCAAGACTCCGTTTTCTGTCTATCAAGGCAACTGGAACATGATACGCCGGGACTTCGAACATGACATTATTCCTATGGCTCGTCACTTTGGAATGGCTCTTTGCCCTTGGGGAATTTTTGCATCAGGAAAGTTGCAATCCAAGAAGCAGATCGAAGACCGCAAGCAAGCAGGGGAGACACTTCGACCCATGTACACAACAGAACAGAACGAGATCGAACGCAATGCGAGCGACGCCCTTGAAAAGGTTGCCAGTGAACATGGAATAGACAGTGTTCAGCAAATTGCCATCGCTTATGTGATGCGCAAGGCGAGGAATGTCTTCCCACTTATCGGAGGACGAACGGTTGAACAGCTGAATGACAATATCAAGGCTCTAAGTATCCGCTTGACAGACGAACAACTAAAGTACCTTGACAGTATAAAGCCTCTGGAGGTTGTATTTCCGATAAATATTATTGGGGATGATCCTAGGGAGACAGGCATGTCGTCGATGGGACATGCAACCTTCGCTCAGATGGCGTGGCAGAGATTTCCGAAGCCCACGGGATATGAGTGAGGCGGTGTGCAGCTACGTGCTGGGTATAGAGTTGTCATTTATGCAGGAAGCAAACGAGTTCGACGACTTTTTAAAGAGTCTATAATCGCCATTGGTCGTATATAGTTTTGTATCAGACTATAATGACGTGCGTTCGTAGCTAAAACGGATAAGTGTAGAGCAAATAATAATGATATAAATCTATCAACAATTATTAATAGTTATAAAGTGATATCTTACCAAAATCTATTTACGATATCATAGCTACTCGTTCTATTCCCGTTCTTTCTTGATATGCTTCGTTTGAGATCTTCTTTTCTAGTCATGTCTCTTAGGCTCTATCAAAGTGTGCATAGGCCCATCATTTCATTTTTGACACTTCTATGTGCGAATCAATCCATTAATTACCTTGCCTACTACTGGCTTCAACGTCAAGCAAGCAAGCAATTGAGCAAACATATGATTTTCTATACAAAATCCTTCGACCACAAGGCTCCAGAACCTCGAACTCCTCCCTCCCATCAGTCTCAGGTTCGCGCTGTCCTCAAGCATTTCGCTATCACAATTGATTATAGAGATCGCCTTTAAATGCCCTATATCCCTCTCCAAAGGCTATTTCTAAAGACTGTTACTATATACTCCTACCTTACAAGCCAGCCTTCTCTACTTTGCTCTGCTTTACTCTGTTTTACTCAAGGAAATGCAAACTTTAGTCAAGCCAATAAAAATGAAATTGAAATAAGAATAAACAAACTATTGTTTGAAAGGAAAAGAGGCTACAATCATTGAAATAAACATATGATATATCCCCATCCTAAGGTAGGAGAAGTCACGGTTGAGGTCACGGGACTTTGGTTTCTGATAGTGTGGGTGGTCGCGAGCTTCGCGTCTTGTGAATCTTTGACGACATACAACAAAGCGACAAAAGGCAGCGAAACCTGTTAAAAGCATACAATTCGACTTCGACTTCGACACAGCCCAGCCAGCCGGAACAAGATGGTGATGGCATCAGGAAATCATCTGGCGGATGTGGATGCAGATACGTGGGATTCAACAGATGTGAAATACTCAGAATACTCGAGCGTCCAAGTCCAAGCGAGAGCCTTGGAAAGCGACTCGCCTTCTTGCATCTGGCGAGAAAATGAGCAGAACGTCTCTCACCACTACCACTGTCATCATCCAGTTCTTCTATTCCAGTTGTTAGTAATAACCCCAGCTACTTCACACCGTCGGCCTTAATCAAGGTACAGGATAAGAGTAGGCAGCATTCCCCTCTAAAGCCTGAACTCACTCTCCCGTCGAGGGCACAAAGTGTCGACCTCATCGCCAATACTGATAGCGAGGTCGCCACCGGCAGTAGCAGTAGCAATATCAATATCAACATCAACGTTCATCCTCAGGCATCTAGCTCGGTGTTGAGCTCTAAGCGTCTCCGCGTCCCTGCCTCCGAACTAGCAGAGGAAACAGACTCTGCATTACTGCCCGTCGCATCCTCCATAAACCTGCGAGAGCCTGACCTTGCTTCTCTGGTCGAATTGCTGAGAGGATACCGCGACTTTCACAATCTCAATCCTTCACCATTTGCCAATCCTTCCACGCCTATCTTGGTCTCCCCGGAATGCTTGCTCAAGTTATTTCAAGAGCTCGAGTCGCGTCATCCGTCGCTGGATTACTATGTCCAAAATAAACTACGGTATGCTCTTTTACTCCATACCTTCGTCTTCCCATCCTTCTCTCAGCGTTCAGTGCCCTGCTGACACCCCTCCAATCATAATGCCCGCCACCGCCTCGAGTCCTTGATATTTCCCGATTATTTGCCTTGGGGACCTAGCTTATGGGTTGACCAAGTGATTTTCAGATACGACTATGATCCAGGTCCTGGCTTGCTCCATATTCGAATGACTGCTCCGGTGCATGCCGGTTTCTGTTCTGGGCTGGCGGATGAGATCATGGTCAAACTGCGGGTTATAGCCGAGTCCTCTCGCGATGCGGTTCCAGAGCGAGCCCGAGATTTTGCCAGCAGCATCGCCGACATGTCAACATCTCGTATTCGATATGACAAAGATCGTAACGGCGTCGATGTCAAAGCGGCTGCACAGATCAAGGCGCAACGGCAACCCGACGGCCAGTTCCAAAGCCCCAACACAAAATACCCGGCGCTAATCTTCGAGGTCGCCTTCTCACAGAATCCAGGCAATTTTGCAAAGATTGCAGAGGGTTATATGGAACGCTCGGGCGTCAACACCAAGACCTTCATCGGCATCAATATTGACTATAAATCTCGATACCCCTCGACTTTATCCTTGTGGAAAGCTGTAAATGCTATTGAAGACGGTGCTCCGGTCCAGGATACCTTTGAGGCAGTCGAGGTTATCGCATCAAAGGTATGTTTCTACCTGCATTAATTCCCCCGCCCCACCACCCAGGAGATGAACAATTGAAGCAAGGAGGAAAATGGAGAATCGCGAAGAGATGTGCTAGTTCGAGAAGCTAACAAGCATCCTTTTATCTTTCCAATTAGCCCTTCCGAGATGCCAGCGGCGCACCCTGCAACCCAGACCACGAGCTCCGCCTTTCACTCCAAGATATTGCCACAGGCCCCAAAACCCCAGACCTCGACGCGATTCAGATTGCCATCACCTACGACAGGCTTTGCAAGATACTAGACAAGGCGTGCCGGTTTCATGCATGGAGGGAGGACTCCGAGCCCCACGCCGGCTTCCAGGCCAAGCACCAGACGTTTCGGCGCAAGCGCTCGCCAACGCCGCCAGACTGTATCCTCCCCGATGATGAGGCCCGCTAGTTGCGCGAGGAGGAGATTTGCTTGGCACGCACGGATGCTGCAGATGGCGACTTTGAGTAACAGACCTCGCGGAAGAGACGAAAGTGAGAAGCATTTATCCAACAGGCGGAGTCACTCTGGGCCAGCTAGATGGATCAACCGATTCAGCCCTCATCAAACATAAAGAGCAATGATTTTGTGATATTAGCACAAGTTCTCACCCAGCTAAAGTCTTATAATCTTTAGGGAATCTGGCCTTCTCTGGAGAGGGGAAAACGGGAGGGCAGGCATACTGTTTCATCTCGACTGGACGTGCGTGGCCAGACATGAGCCCGTCGCTTCAATCGTCGTTTTCTTTCTGGCGTCCTCAGCGCACTATGTACAGTATCGAGGAAAAGAAAGCAGGAATCCATGAGGAATGTTGTGAGCAGGATCCTCCACAAGTATACCTTCCAGGGTTCATTCAGCCTACTATATAATCGTAATATGAGGTGTTGTAAATACTTAAGTCTGTCTTTCCCGTTCCCATTTCTCTTTCAATCTCTGGACCTTGTCCCGCTTCCAGCTCGCTGTGTGACAGGCAGCCGCGGTTGAAGCAATATACCCCGGCGGGGGAACTAGAACTGGATAATCCGTTACACAGGCATGGCTGTTGCGGAGGCTGGCGAAAGGCAGGCATTCTATCTCACCCAGCGAGACACATCACCCAGGCTCGTGGCGTACCAACCGACTCAATGATATTGTTCCCGATAACAATGTACTGACGAAATACCAACAGCGTGGTTGGCCAGAGAAAATTTGGGAACACACGGTCCAGGTCTGGGACAAGGCATTATCGTTAGGGTCCACACATGCTACGACTCATTAACCCTCATATTTATATGAAGTAAGTGTACATGGCGTGGGTTTTAATGAGCGCTTGTGAATAACTACCCAAATCGTGGCGTAATTATACAAAAGCAAATCTGAACCTCATTATCATGTTCTAGGAATGAAATGGCCAATGCAATGATTGTCTAATATGTGAATAGTGTAAGAAACATTACGGCAAATTCACGAATCGAACATGACAGCGAGGTCCACTTTAGTAAGCCGATGAACTGGAATGGTATTTTACGATTAACTGTTTCTGGACTGTGGCGGTGCTTTGTTCATTAGCCTGCGGCCCAGTTCGAGTAACTCCATAAATATGGATGCGCCGTTCCTCTCGCCGCACACTTCAAGTCGCTGTTCTGTTTTGTTTCAATCTATGCATGTAATAGCACAAGTAAAATCTATGGCTACTTCGGAATCCCCCAACTATATAGTTATTGGTGGTGGTACCGCTGGCCTTGTTGTCGCCAACCGTTTGTCTGAAGACCCAGGTGTTCAAGTTTTGGTGTTGGAGGCTGGTAATGATTTGAGTGCTGATCCTCGAGTGAATATTCCTGCCCTATGGACAACTTTGATGGGATCTGAAGCCGATTGGCAATACTACTCTGTTTCTCAGTCAGGCTTGCATGGGCGTTCGGTTAGACTTCCGCAAGGAAAGGCCTTTGGAGGATCGTCTGCTATCAACGGTCAAGCCTTTATAGCGCCCGCTCAAGTTGATATTGACGCCTGGGAAAAACTCGGAAATCCAGGGTGGAATTGGGCAAGGCTTGCTCCTTACTATAAAAAGTCATACACACTCCTACCTCCGAAAGACCAGGCAACGCTCGACCACCTGGGCATCGACTGGATTAATGAGGAATTCAGGGGCACATCCGGTCCTCTTCAGGTTTCTTTTCCCGGAATTCTCCAAAATCCATTGTGCAAAGCATGGATTGACGCCTTTCGTGGCTCGAACAAGCTGACGAGTGGCGGTAAGTAATGATGCTTGATCTCTTTGTCGTGTGATCAAGAACTCTTACCTATGGAAGCTCACACTTTTCTAGATCCATTCTCGGGAAAGTCATTAGGTGGTTATAGCAATGTCGCAACTGTTGACCCAGTCACCAAAACTCGAAGCTACGCCGGCTCGGCGTATGGTGTGCCAGCTCTACAAAGGTCCAATGTCAAAGTATTAACGAGAGCGAAAGTTCACAAGATCCTATTCGCCAATACAAATACCGGGTTGAGAGCAACTGGTGTGGAAGTCTCGTTTGAGGACCAGGTTCAGACATATACCGCAGTGAATGAAGTCATTCTTGCAGCCGGAACTTTCAATACTCCAAAATTGCTAGAGCTTTCAGGAATAGGCAGCAAGAAGGTATTAGAGCAATACGGAATACCAATATCTATAGACCTCCCAGGGGTTGGGGAGAATTTGCAGGATCACCTGATGACAGGAGTCAGCTATGAGGTGGTTGAAGGTGTTATTACTGGGGATCCTTTGATGCGTCAGGAACCAGAGGCTTTGGCACTCGCCCAGAAGCTCTATGTTGAGCACCAAGCCGGCCCACTGACTATCGGTGGAGTACAGTCTCACGCTTTCATGCCCACTCCTGGCTCAGACCAGTCTGAGCTGCTAAACAACTATCCCCCCGATTCAAAGAACGCCGAGTATTACAACGTCATTCGCTCTATACTTGACAGTCCTGATGAATGCTCTGCTGCATGGTTTATGTTCCTTGCACAAGCAAACCTACACGAGAGTGCTAAGAGCTTCGTGGGAGATCAGTTGCTGCCTGAGAACTTTGCGAGTTTAGGCTGCTCACAGTCACATCCATTTTCACGCGGAGCTACTCATATTTCTTCGGCCGATGTCGATGCAGTGCCTCTGATCGACCCACGCTACTTTTCGCACCCTGCTGATCTTGAGATCATGGCTCGTCACGTCCAAGGTCTAGAGAAGCTGCGTCAGACAAAGGAGCTAGCGCCCTTCTTCAAACCCGACGGCAAGCGCAATCACCCGGACGCCTTCGAGATTGAAAATCTTGAAGGGGCTAAGAAATATGTCCTTGATACAGCCACTACTACATATCACTGCTGTGGTACGGCAGCTATGTTGCCAAGAGAAAATGGGGGCGTTGTGAATGAAGAGCTTCTCGTATACGGCACTGAGAACCTTCGTATTGTTGACGCTAGTATATTTCCGTTAGTCCCACGCGGCAATATTATGTCCTCAGTCTACGCTGTTGCGGAGAAAGCGGCAGACATTATCAAGGGTCATTAAGCAACATGAATGACATAATAACCATGTGTCACGAAGTTCCAAGCTTCGCCGCGTCTCCCGTCCATAACAGTTCTTTGGAGTTACTCAATGACCTCTCCATGGCAGGAGCACTCGCTGAGACTAAGCTTGACTGTCTTTCAAAAGACGTGATAGGGGGTTGCACAAAGCCACACCCGTAGAATCCAAACGGCGTACACCCGTCATGACTCTCAATCATAGGCTATGTAATTGATCACGCGCAGTTGCCTCGGCGTGCAGTTCGTGTTGTGAAGTATGAGTGATGTTGATAATTGTTCTCCGAGCGCTGACCAAGAAAGTGGCTTATTTGGAACGTTAGGGTCCACCAATTAGGTGATAAGTGAAGCCAATTGCCTCTTGGAACGTACAGACTCTGAGCTTCAGACCCAAGTTATGAATCTTTGTGGTTTTTGAAAGCCCTGTCAGACCTAAAATCCTACTCGGACCGTCAATTCCGACCAGTTGCAGTTTCCGTTCAGGATGAATAGTTACACAAGTCAATAAAGTCTATACAACTTAAGTATCCGACGCCTGTAAGCTGACATTGCAACCTTCTCTTTGTGGATGACCAAGCGTGTATTGTGTTGTCACAAATTGATCCTTCACAAATGTGCCTGGATTGATATTTTGAATCCAAGATGATGTGGAGGCTATGATATTTGATTATAAAAGGCGGGCATCTCTTTGCAGAAGAATTCTACAGACTGTTCAGTTCAATAGCAGACTACAAGACCCTGAAACTTTTTTTGTGATCTTAGTGTCGAAATGAAGCTTGCTACAATTTCCGCCTTGGCATTTTTGTCATTGGTCTCCGCTACTCCACTTGTACAGCGAGACGTCACGGAGTTTGATGTAACAAACTTTTCTGCTGGCTGCAGGGGTGACAACACGGGATGCAGGTACACAACACTGCGGCTTAATTAGCCTCCTATAGCCAGCAACTAAACTGACAACATCACAGTTGGTCTTTCAACCTCGTCGAGGCACCATCCTCTGCAGTCCTCACCTGTGCTGGCAGCACGACGACTGGCACAACGTTTGGGACGACTAGTGGAATCATTTCGTGCTCTGATCCAGCTGTCGTCTTCGTCTTCCAACACATTGCTACGACATACCGACTGGTGATTACCGATGTCCACACTCCGGGATCGTCCGTCAGTGGGGACAAGGTGTTTCCCCCAAGCGATTTCACTATTGTTACTGATGCCAGTGGCGCTCACGAGGTCTACACTGGCCCTTCTTCTTTCGTCGTCCCTCGGCGTGCTTGAGTAGAGCGGTGCCGGGTGGCTTGCAAGGGCCACTGAAGTGAGAGTTCGCAATTTACCTAGGTCGTGGCGTGGAACAGTATATTGTCTACTCTTTGGAAAAAGATGCTAGGACTAGTCACTCTTTATAGTTCAATATGCTATTTATGTATTTCTCTTTTTCACAGGTGCCTATTCTAGCCACAAAATCTATCAACTTAGCATGACTGTGAGTGATGTCATGGTCAGAGCCGCCTCTACACAAATGCGGCATCCAAGTCTCCTTTAACAAGATCACCAAATCCTCTCCCAAGTTCTCCTGAACACATTCATCTCCTGCAGACGCCTCTTTACATTCTCCTCCAGACCACCCTCCTCCCAGATCCTGCATTCTTCATCGATCTCCGCTTTTCCGCCGATGAGGTCTGCGTAGCGGGGATCGACGAACTTGGTTCTCTTGACGACTTTCCAGAACACGTACATAAACGGACCGAATGCGAGCGCAAAATAGCTGGTGATGAAGCCCTGGGTATCCCACGGAACGAAGTAGTCGTAACCGATGAAGATCATGGTGAGCCATCCGAGGAAGGTGCCGAAGTAAGCAGTCCAGGGTGACCAGGGTGCCACATATGGCAACACTGAGTCCGGAGCGACATCCGGCTGGGCCTTGCGAGCTCGGTACCAGCCCAAGAATGTCATCAGCATCATGGTGTAAGTCATGATGAGGGCGGTGGTTGTCAGCCCGACGAACCAATAGAAAACCTCGACGGCGGAATTTGACGAAACTAGGAAGGTGATGCAGCAAATAAGGGACACTGTCAAAACGCAGTAGATCGGAACACCGGACTTGGTGCACTTGAGCAGGAACCGTGGTGCTTGGCCATCTAGGCAGACATTAGTTGAGTTTATTTGCGGAGAAGATGACTAGATCCGAAGTAACTCGGATCTGACAAGGTACTAGTCTTACCTCGAGCTAGACCGTATAGTGTTCTAGAAGAAGAATAAAGGTACGCATTTCCGCAGGACCTGTATCAGAAAATCAGCAATCTGGATCATTGTCATATGCAATGCCTTTTAGGGCTGCTTACCATCCGGACATCAGGATGAGGAAGTTGATCAAACCTGGCAAGCCGTGAATACCCAGGTTGGTAATGCCAATGACCCATGGTGAGGCAGCTGAGCCGGGCTCTCCGTTCTCGATAGCACCTAGCAAGTGCTCGTCACGGCTAGAGCAGATGATGCCGACTGCGAAGACACCGATGACATAGAAGCCAACCAGTCGATAGAACACAAGTCTCGCCACTCGGGGAATGGTGTGACGTGGGTTTTGGATCTCGCCGGCCGAGAGACAGAGCATATCGGGGCCAGCAATGGTGAATCCAGCGTAGATAACGACCGACCTGGAAAGTTTAGAAAACGGCATGCAAAATCAGGTTGTGTGACTTACCACCATCCCAAGAAGCGACCCGTTCCGCCGCTCGCGTAATATGAATGCATATAGTTTCCATGTTTCCAATGTGTAAATCCGTAGGCATCATGCTTGGGATTTCCGCCGCACATAGTGATGAGGGTGATGAGGACGAGACCGATCAGAAGAAGCACCTTGAGGGAGGCCATGATGAACTCCGACTCGCCGTACCACTTCACCGCCACAACATTGAGAGCAATGCACACAACCATGGCCATGGCAATCCACACAGCAGGGTTGACGCTAGTATTCCAATATTGCATGACAGTTGCGACAGCAGAATATTCGACACAGACAAGCATGGCCCCGGCGAAGAAGTAGGTCCATCCCATTGCAAATCCCAAAGCGGGATCAACAAATCTTGAAGCCAGTTCAAAGACAGTGCCTCGAAGAGGGAGGTAAGCCATCAGCTCAGCCATGCACAGGTAGCATGGCCAGATGAACAGAATTCCCCAAAAGAGATAACCCAGAAGCAGCGACAATGGCCCAGCCTGAGAAAGAACTCCGCCAATTCCAACAAAAAGACCCGTACCAATTGAGCCCCCAATAGTCATAAGCTGGACGTGACGAGGTGACAGACCACGCTTGGTTTCGTACGCGGCGCGACGCTCGGTGGTAGTGCCGCCGTAGGCCGGCTTGATGTCACCGGATTGCAGGTCAGCACCGGTTGCCGACCCGGAACCAGCCACTTTTGACTCGCCGCCGTCTATAGAAGAGCCCATTTTCACAGATATCTCTTACTGAGGGTCAATATTCTAGGCAACTGATCAATGTTCGAGAATCCGAGAAAAGGTCGAGGGATCGACGCTCTTTTGAAGACAATCTGCAGGCCATGACAGACCCAGCAGTGGGGATATCTCTGCATTGCACCCCTGCAAACATGTGTAGTTTTCCGCATGTAAGACGGCAGATAAGAAAGTCTTGGCGCGGAGTAAGTGGCGAGACACCGGACCGATCCCTGGATGTTCAGTGCACTTGAGTCTCCCAGTGAGCCAGCGCCCTGGCTTGACTTGGCAGCCGACGATAAGCCGCCATGGCGTAGAGCTCCAACAGGCAATTGCGAGTGGGATCATCACCTGAGTGGAGGTGCCAAGCTGGGGAGCTGCACCGTTTCGAGATATGAGATGCGAAGAGATCCCGGAGAATCTCGGACATGGCCGAGCCAAAGGCATGGGTTTGACGATGAGATTCCGGGCAAACAGCTCACGTCGAGTTTCCCGTCAGCGTCGATTGGACGTTACATAATTCAATGTTGGCCGCCCAGAGTATCCCTAGGCATGTTTTGTGATATCTCGTTCGGTGTAATCGAGAACTAGCGCGCCATCATTAAGCATCGTGTGGAGAATTCAATCACTGATTTAGTCATGAATCGCCGCTGCGATAGCGCATTTTGACAATCGTTCAAACGTAAAATTGCCATGTCTCCGAACGGTACTTACCGCTTAAGAATGCTAGCCTCCTCTTCTTACCCGAGTTGGTGGTTTCAAGGCTTCTGGAATGAACCCCCTAAGAATGCGAGTCGTTGTGATCGTAGAATTCTTGCTCGCCGACACTCGACGGGCTCTCTCCGCGCCGGGTTTGATGAAGAATCTGACCAAATCTGTCTACATCTGAGCTGCGCGTATGTTCAAAACGGCTGTCGATGAACAATACTGCCGTAATAGACTTCTGGTAGATCTCATTCGAGGCTTGTGAGGCTGAACCTGCCAAGCCCTCCTGGGCGTTAGCCTTGGTGCCCTAAAAACCCTCAGGTCCGGCAGTGAAAGGCCGCTAGAAAGCATTAGCTGCCTTCTAAAGCTACCCTGAGAAGCCACACATTGACCCCTGACATACGCCCAGATCTGCCCAGGGGGCTGGAACCCCCAACTTCCCGTCCTGACCAATATGGAAGGTCTATCCGACATGGCCCAGATGAAATGAACAAGCGTAGGGTTGTTGAATCAAGAGTTCTTACATTCCACAAGTCAGTCCTTGGGCTAAAATGTCGAGCTTCTTAGCAGACGAAGCTCCCTCAACAATATTCCCTCTTCAATCCTAGCATGACTTTCGAATTCCCATGCCCGAATTTTATTGGCTTGCTGCAATAGTTTTCTTCCCAGAACAATCCTATATGTGAGAGATCGGTATGTTCAGAATTACAGTGCATTGGATTCATTTCTGTGATGCTATTCCCTTCACAGTACCTCTGTCTCCTTCACACAGATGCGCCGAACAAGGCCATGCATGCGCCAACCAGGTCTACGCCTAGCAGCGACAGAGAAGAATTGCAGTCATGTTGAAATCCCATGTGTACAGACAACAAGTTCAACGACACCAGACTTATCGTCAAGGCATCATAGGAGTGAGCCTGTGAGCTTAGTCAACCTCGGGATAGACGCGGCGCGTATCAATAGTGCGCGTGCTCCTTACTTCAAATGCTTCAAGCGCGCCGCCTCAAATTTGTATGAGGACACAAACAGTTAGACCAATGGTATGGATTTGCAGGAGATCTGGCGCAAGAGGGAAAGGGATTGGCGTAGTCATTTGCTTTGCCCTGCTGAATCGTGGGCCTGTCTCGGGTAAGTATGGGACCTCAGGAGGATGGCGTAAGCAATCATGGCACTATTGGATGTCCGCCAGCACATCACTTGTTACAGTCTAAAACAAAACAGAGAGGGCAATGAACAAAATCGCCCATGGCCCGCGAGGCTTGGCTAAGATGGCTTTCTGTCCTGCAGTCGCATTGAAACGCCTTCACCAGGCGCGACAGTCATGGGTATCCAGTCTGTCCGGACCATCAGAGCAACCCCCATCGCGGGCCTCTTCTTAGCTATACTTATTTTATGGATTTTTACTGCTATATTTCGTCTTAACTTTGAAAATGCCCTCTGGCTCCCTCAAAGAACAAGCCTGGAGCGACCAGCCCTGATTTCTTCCGCTGAAATAGACCTCGTCGAGTTTACCGCAGAGCACTTCATTGACTTTCCGATACAAGAGCCTTACAAAAACAGATTCGCCGAACTCGGCAGCCGTCTTCAAATCGTAAGAGAATGGATTGAGCTCGCTGGACGAGCCTCAGGGGAAGAGAAGGAGCGAATACAAGTTGCGATCGAGGAGTCGATACGGTCCATGGTGCCCTTTATCACCAGGAACAAAAAAACGCAAACACCATTTCAAGACTTACAACAGAGATTCAATGAATCTAGAGGAATTGTCATTCCCACGGGTTCGAAAACATTCCGCTTTGCTTGCCATCTGGTCACCAATCTTCGCCGAGCCTTGAAGACGAATCTTCCAATACAAATCGTATACGCCGGGGATGAGGATCTGCCCGCAGAGAAACGAGAAGCAATTGCATCGTTGAATCTACCTGGCGAGGAGAAAATCGAATTCCTCAATATTTTGGACATATTTGACGATGCAACACTAAACCTTACATCAGGGGGATGGGCCATCAAGGCCTTTGCAGCTTTGGGAAGCCGATTCAAAGAAGTCATCTTGCTGGACGCCGACGCAGTCTTTCTTCAAGACCCTGAAGTCGTGTTTCAACAGCAGGCTTACATCGACAAGGGTGTCCTGCTGTTTCATGATCGAAAGCTTTGGCAGTATACATTCCCAGAGCGTCACCAATGGTGGCATTCGCAAATCATACATCCTAGTGCCGAGATGGGCAAAAGCTTGGCATGGACCCAGCAGTATGGAGAGGAGCAGGACTCAGGGGCCGTGGTTATCGACAAGGGGCGATTGGACGTGCTGCTAGGGCTGCTGCATGTAGCATGGCAAAACACGTATGCCGTACGAGAAGAGGTTACGTACCGGCTCACGTACGGCGACAAGGAGTCCTGGTGGCTCGGTTTCGAACTAGCAGGGTCGACTTACGCGTTCGAGAAGCACTACGGAGGAATAGTGGGGTGGCCGCCCTCGGGTCATGACTCGGGCATACAGAAGGTCTGCAGCTTTGTTATCGCCCACATTGACGAGAATGATAGGCTGCTGTGGTACAATGGCGGGCTGCTGAAAAATAAAATGACGCAGCTCAGGAACTTCGAGGTGCCAACGCATTGGACCATCGACGGCACCTGGGAAAAGGGGTCGGTTAAGGAGGCCATGTCTTGCATGGTTGGCAGCTCGGTTCACTCACTAACACAAGAGGAAAAGGAGCTTCTCCAGCGAGCCATTAACATGGCGCAGGAGGTTGATTCTAAACTTGGATTAATAGAATAAATGTATGTACGAATATAAGCGACGACATGACGACATTTCAAAAGAATTGGCCTCATCAGGCTTCATCTTCGCTACGATGTATGATAAAGTGCGATAGACTACGCTGTGGGGCATTTGCAACCTGATATCCAATCAGAGGCAGAGAATGATCGTAAGCCAACCCAATCAAGTAATTCGATTTTGTTGCCTAACAGGCAGGCATGTTTCTCAGTACTTTCGTAAGGCATAACTATTACAGACTCAACTTGATGCCTGCAATTCAGGGAGACATATCGACTGATTTCATGATATAATATGGCATATCTACTCCAAAATTCTAAGTGATGTTGACTGACTGACTGACTGACTAACTAACTCTTTGTGCATGCTACCAGGTGTTACCAACATAACAAGTGATTTCAGCTCCACTGATCTCATTCGTCATGGTGGTTACGGAAGTGGGGGTCATGGGCATCAAACCTGGTCTTGATGTTATGAATGATGACACTCCAGAGGGCCAGATCCTCACAAAAGTTTGGAAAACGGTCACAACAGCGCCAGGAGGACCGCAGAACGTTTGCTGGGGAATAGAGAGCGAAGACCCATCCAAAATATGGGGTTTCTTTGACTGGAATTCGGTGGAGGAGCATCAGCAATTTGCTAAAGTGTGGGTAGCACATTCTGACTAGAAATGAACATGATTGTAACACAGATGCTTTAGGTTAGGCAAAGAAGCGGTAAAAGACATACCGACCATAATGACTCATGGCGAGTTTACAAAGCATATTACGCTCACCCCATCTTCCGTGGCTTTGCAGTCTGATGTGACAGAAGCTATCGTGCTCTTCTTTCCTCCAGACTTATCACCATCTGCAAAGGCCAGTGTCACCGCACAGCTACAGCAGTTCATCGAGAAAAGCATAAAAGAGTTTGCTGATATCAAAGCTACGAGCTTTGGCTGGGGTGTCGAGAATGATTTCCCCATAAGAGAAGGAGACGGGCAGACAGGTTCAATCGTCGCGGCTTTCATAGGCTTTCCTAGTCGAGATGCGCACGTCAGATTCCGCGAAATGCCGGTCTACATAGAGAATCTAGACTCCATCAAGAACATAGAAGGGTTATCACAGTCTCTGGTCTTTCATATGAACTGCAGGAGTCTTGTTCGGGCATAAGGGTAAGTAATACTCGAATGGGCGATCAAAGACGAGGCGAAATTTTTACCAGAATGAAAGACTTAGGCAACGTCAGCTCAAGTCAAGGTATTGACTACGGTACATACCATAAAGATCTTTTATTATCCAGTTATGTGTCTACACATGCATCTTTTACTTTTCTCCGTGGGCTTGTAGTGCATCTTCATCTCAGGGTATTATGAATAGTCAAAGTTCGAAAGCGTACAGCTTGGAGAGGCCCCATGCATGTGGTCTTGCCGCGGACGGACTGATGGCAAGCGTCAGGACCCGAGAGAACAGGTGCAGGTTTCTCCCTTCACTGACGAATTATGGGTTACGATTAATCATGGGGTTACCCCACAAATCCA